TGAGAGGTTTGGAAGAGCAAGTTGTGACACAAGTGAAGAGCTAGAAAAGCGATAATCAAAATTAGGAGAAATAACACGAGAAGCAAGCTAATTTACAGAGTCAAGTACAGAAAGTGAGAAAGAACTATTATATTATGCACAACAGGAATCTATAGATTATCTTTCTTCTATTCTTGCTAAACTATAGTTTAAGAAGAATAGAAGATAAATTCGACGCCAAACCTCTGATGGAGCTAGTCCAAAGACACGACTCAGTGCACCTAGCTTGCGCCAACAAGCAAGAGCAATGTCTCTGGCATGTTTATTCCATCTAAGATCATGCGAAACAAGAATATCAAGACAGCGAACAGAAGACACAACAGAAAGAGGGACTTTATTGAGATACACACGATTGTAAACAAACGAAAAAAGATCAAAACTAAAAGGAAGCCAAGAACATTTAGATACACTGAGAAACAAGAGATTAGTAGAAGACGAGTTTGAGGCAGAGTTTGAATATGAGAAAACTTAAACGAATCCGAAGAAGAAAGGGGTACAATTAAAAAGGCATCCTGCAAAAAGACAGATTTTTCAATTTTCTGGAAAAGATCGAGACAAGCCATTAAAAAAAATAAGAAATAAAAGCGGCACAAGCACATTGCCTTGAGGAACGCCGGAAGAAACAAGAGAAGAAGATAGAGTCATTGAATTCATATGCACACACTATATACGGTTGGAGAGGTAAGAAAATAAGAGAGAATAAACAGTCATTCACACCACAATGCGACAATTTTTCCAACAAAAAAGGATGACATCAAATGCGTGAACTTTCTACAACTTCACACGCGTTCACACACCGTTTTACGACTTTCACTAGTAATCACGTGCAAAAAGTTTCTGTGAGTAGATCGCGCGTTGTCACAAGTGGAATATATTCTTTACACACCATTTTACGATGTTCACGTGCAACCATAGTTCATTTCACGATATTCACGAGTGTACACGCCGTTTTATATACTGAAATTATATAGTATAGTACAGTATATTTATATACTGAAATGGGTAACAAGTATAGCTAAACAAAAACAGCACAGACAAAACTGGTTAATGTTTTGCAAGAGACCTGCCAAAAGAACTTCAGGTTTTTTTGTAGAGCACTGTCACTTATATATGTTACAGTGTTTATCTCAAATGAATCACCTTGTTTTTCTGAAAAAAGTTTAAAAGATTCACGAAGCAATCCAACGTGAGACCAAAAGCATAAAACTTTTTTTCATCGACTCTTAAACCAACCAAAGAGTGAATCTATTAATAGGAGTTATTCGAAATGATTAGGCCTTGTCCAGACTACGATTTTTTCAGAGAAGAACCTTGAGTTAACTCGAAGTTAACTTTAAGGGAGTCCAGATCATAAAATTAACTGTCAAATCTCATTTTAGCCACAGCCTCTATGCATGTAGTTAATGTATTTGAAATAAAGCAGACAGTAATAATAAGAGAGACCCTGAAGCAAAATAGTAGGTCACATATTATTGAACAATAATGCAAAAACACTATAAGCACACTAAAAATTAAAACAATCTCTAAATAATTTCCTCGAATATAAATCACATCATGCACTGTTAAATCCACATTTAGCTTCTTTCGGTAAAAAATTTTCTAATCAGTAAGATAGTATCAGTTGTATTTTCAATATTGTAGAACAGTCATAAAATTGAAAAATCACAATCGTTTTTTGTTCTACCTTTTATTTTATAAAATGATAGAAGGATGCGAATATTTACGTAAATGTTTAGGTTCTATTTACAAGTAAAATCGATAAAAACACAGATACATGATTGTTTGCTATTTTCATGCACATGTGAGAAAAAAAAATGCCAAAAAATACTTTTGAGCTAAATAAGCCATAAAGTGAAAATTTTGATCCATTAGCACACGCATGCTATCTAAAAAAGACAAAAAAATATCTAACTTACAGGTGGGATTAGAGCATGTTTCAATACATATACACAAAATAATAGAATTACTGATTAAAACCGACGATTCTTAATCTACAATCAGCAATCGAAACAAAAGGACAAAGGAAAAAAAAGACAAAGGAAATTCGATCTATTTAATTGTCAAGATCAAATTGGTTTTTTATCTAGCTTATTCTTATATGTACAAGACATACAACGCTTTCATATACATTCTAAATAAAAATAATAAAGTCTTGTTCGTCTTAATTTTTATTGTGACTTTTTAAATAAATCACCGCTTGCTCCACTGTTATATGTTGAAGTAGAAAATAAAATATTATTCGTTGCATTCGATGAAGGTCGCGGTTTAGTAACTTCATATACTGTCGAACGAGTTGTTGTAGTTGTTGTAGTAGTACCCATAGTGCGAGGACCATTCGTTGATACAGGTGGCTTTTTTGAAGTAATTGAATTCTTTTTATTGTTCCAAAATAACACGATACGTTCACGAATCATTGGTATCAATTTTCGATTACGTATACCAGGAACTAAACACACGGCTAATGCTAGAAAAGAATAAAATCAAAATTTTATAGATTGTAAAATCAAGTCATCAGCAAAATTGACTAATTGACAGCGTTTTCGATATAACTTTGGCAAGGTGGGCGAAGTTTTATGGAGCAGCTCTAAAAATTTAGCTGATAACTAAAAAGAAAGGACTTTTAACTTTTCGGAGTCATTTTTTTTAAGCAGGAGTAAATTCTTTAAAATGAACGGAGTAATTGTTTCAGACAAGATGGGAGAAATCTCCCACCTAATCGAAATCGCTGCTAATTGAAAACAACACATGTACACCAGACAGGTTAAACTGTGATAAATCTGGTTGAGTACGCATTCTAACTCGAATTCGTATAAAATAGTTTGTACTAAGCATTCGACTCTTACTCAGCTCTATAGCATAATAATTTCTCTACTCACTTGTTAAATAAGTAAGTAACAAATTGTCAACACATTGTCCAGCATAAGCAAAAAATGCCAAAATAATAACACCAATCATTAAATACTAAAAAAAACAACAATAACTTAATATTGAAGCCAGTTGACTGAATTTGATATACATACCATTAATGGTCGTTCTTTTCTCATTTTTAATGCTGAATCACATGAACTTTTAATATGTTGTTCAAATCGGACTATTCGTTCACATAAACGAGTATACTTTGCCTCTTTAGCATCGTTCCTGAAACAAAAATGCAACAATAATAACTAACAAGAATACATTCATTAATCATGGATAAAATCTATAGCAATTTGAAGATGTATTAAGATTATTAATTTTTGTATTAAGATGTATTAAGCTTTTTAACTTATAAATTCTTAACAAATAGAAATATCTGTATGTGTCACTTTGAGAGATGGCCATAGATGAACACATAGGTCAATATGTGCTGCATTCTAATGAATGTCGTTTTGTGGAACTACCTCACTATCTTCGAAGAAGAGGGGATAACAGTTTCATACCCCAAAATCCCTGTTTTTAAGATAAATTTGCCCCCTTCCCTCCCCCCTGGAGGACACAACCTCTTAAAGTGACAGTGACAATCTCTTAAAAAGGTTCGGAACGAGTTGTGTTAAAGCATGAAATTTCGAATATTAACAAATGGTTTATGTTAAACGAAATTCAAAAAAAAACATTCATATACTTCAGCTTACAGCCAAAGATAAATGTTTGGTTTAAAAAAGAACTTTCATACATGTTCTTTAAATTTCATTAGTATATTAAACTTTTATTTTAGTTTGGAACTAATTTTTTTTTAGGGCTAGACGTCTCAGTATTAGAGGTTCCACCTTTTAGCATCTTTAGGTGCTACCCTGCCAAGGTTTATTATTATATAGATGAGACACACTCTTGTGCTGATCTTAACACAGCTACCTAACTTTCTCTTCGTTGGTTTCTCTATAATTACTAGACACTGGCGCAACCGTTATCGCTATTACAAAACACAACTTTGATCGACGTACCAATTTTCATTTTTGAATAAAAATCCAGCTATAATAGGAACAACAAAATCGATGAAAACAAATATTAGCATTAGACAACTAAGTAATGTTAATACAGGTGGATTCATCGATAAAATAAATCTAAAATAGAAAAAGTCGATATGAAGAAATGCAAGAGAGAAATGATAGATACTGACGCAAATACGATTGTTATAAGTCCGAATAAAATTAATGGATCATATTTGTGTTCCCATTCGAGTAAATTATTTAATGGTAATAAAATATTACGCCAAATTGCAAGCGAATTCTTTATCTCAAAAAGACGATCTGAATTGTGATGAATGTCCTGAAAATATTAGAAATACAAATTACTGTTTTTAAACTAAACGTTTGAATATCGATTAATAAATTTCAAAAAATAAAAGACCAACTTACATCATATTGCGATGATGATGATACGATTTTTGACGTTGTTGCCGTAGAATATGAATCACCAGCACCTGAATGCATGTTCGACAAAAATCTGTTGGTTTTTCTTTTTTGACGAAAAGAATGAGATAATACTTTATCTTAAAAACAAAAAGATTAATCATGCAGTAATACTTTTCCATAAACATTGAACTTTAATGATTAATTTAATTTACAGAAAGTCGATATTCAAAAATTTATACATGAATCTGTATTATTCATACCAACATTGAAGAGTAACATCATGGGTGTACTTGTGAAGTTCGCTAAGAAAGAACAGAGACAAAGTACGAACAATAACATTAAAAAAAAATACACCGTAGTAACCATTAGTATAAAAAATTGTTCATCAAAATTTTTGCTCAAAAAAAAACAGAAATAAGTTTGTTCATAGATGCATAATGGATCTTTTTAAACCGACTAAATGATGGAATGTTCAGGATCTACTTTACAATTAACTTTTGGCATATAAAAGAACATTCTCAATTCCTAATAAAAAAAAACAAACACAAGGAAAATGACATTGAAAAACAAATTAACACAATGATAAAATTTTGGCTATAGTAAAAAGTTATTACAAATAAAAGCCATGAGATGCATCGTTGTGTTGTAGATCATTCTTTATATACAATAAAAAATCAAAATACAAAAACATCGCATCATTCTCAGATAGAAAGAAAAAATCATATTTGACTACATAAGCGTACGTATATCGATGCATGTACAGTATTAATAAAAGAAATTGATTGTTAAAAGAAAAACCAAGCATGATAAATAACAGACGTAAATATATCTTTATTTTCTTTTAAATCTAAAGCACTTTATACCTTCCCAATTCATGACGACAATTTGGACAATAGTGAACAGTGTCCTGACAACTTTCCGAACAAAAGGGAATTAAACAACAAAAAACTATACACCTAAAACGAGAGAAAAGAAATATATTTATGCATACAATCATTCTGAAAATCTTGTAAAAGTTTGAACCTAAGTACTTCTGTCAGGAGATTCAAAATCAAAAAACTGACTGTACGCACCCAAAGAATATTAAAAGCATACATAAAAGCCAAGCAAATGTACCCGCTTTCTGAAATGAGAAATAAACATGGTATTAAGTTCAATAATGTTTAAACTTTCGATTTACATGATGTACACTTGTTATAACAGATTGCTGACAGTTAGGACAAACACATTGCATTGGAGTTCGTCCAATATGAACTTGTTGTAAAACAGGTTGATCTAAACAAATAACAAGAGTTTGTATGTAATGTTTTTAAAAATAAAGTGAAAAAAAAATGACTTACATCCAGCTTGAGTTTGGATATATATTGGAATATTCGTTGGAGAAGTGATTCCATAATAGGGAGCAGAAACTGTTTGTTTCGATGCAGTATTAACATCACCTGGATATGGAGGCGGTAAATCACTTTGATAAGCCATTGATAGAGAAATACAATTTAATCTAAAATCATAAACTCCGTCTTTGATAGGCGCACTTCTCGGCTCAAATCAGTGCGCGTAATAAAAAAAGAATAAACATTGCTGTATAATGACTGGTAAACAGTAAATACACACAAGTGATTTCAGGCTGGCGTAAATAACACGCTAAAAGATCTCATAAATGCTCATAAGTTAACTCAGAACAGCAAACAACGTGTCACGTTTATTTCTGAGCTTGTTGGCTATACCTCTGAGAAAAAATACATAAACAAGTAAAACATAAATGAAACATTAAATAAAGCAAAGGTCTCTTTCAGAGCAAGATGAGTCATTACTGTTTCGCTGCAGCCAATGATATCTTGGGAGGATCAAGAAGAAATCAATTGTTATAAACTTTATGTAATGGCTTTCAAAAAACGTATTTTCTACTATTTGAGCCAGAATATTAGAGTAAAAAGTTTATTCATTGGCGAAAAAGACTCTAACTTTTGATCATACGATAACGATTAAACTTTACAGCAGACATTGCAATGACATGTTGTTTCACTTATTTTATGACGTTAGACTTCAGAAAAAACTAAATGTGTGTACTCTGGACTGCTTAAATCTTTTAGATTTTGTCGTCTGAGTATGTCCGTAAAGCTTTGTGCCAATGACACTGCTGATCCCCTTTGAAAAGAGCCGTACAAGATCGCACAAAGCTTGAGGTTTTCTTGTGACTTCCTGTTTTAAGACCATACTAGATCATATCACAAGACGTGGCTCGATCTTTAAGACGTAGGATGACAATTCATCTAACCTTCCATCATTTTGTAAAATCTTACAAGTTCTTATGTTAGAAGATCTTACAGGAAATAACTGCTTGTATATTTTCTTTATTCTCATCTACCTGGCATTGCTTATCATGGTTAAGCATTTTCTAATGTCTGTAGATGATAACAGGATTTTTCTAAGTAAAAAACTTTTGAACATGCAGAATGAACAGCTGTTCTACAGATGTCGCTCTATAAAGGTGTACCGTCTGTGTTTAGAAAACTAACGGTCATAAATAAGATAAAATAAATATTTATTAACCAGTATTAAAAGCCAGCTTAGAACCAATATAGTATATAGTATAAACAGAAGCAAATATCGCCAGCTTATTGCAGAATCGAACAAGTAGTTGATATCAGAAATAAGCAACATTGCTGTGCTCTTCTATTTATCTGATACTTATGAAGCACTGATACCGCATCTTAGGGCCCTCTGCTGCATTTAAGTTTTCTCATTTAATTCAGTAGATTAAACAGGGACGTACCTAGCACCTCAGAGAAGGGGGGTGATCTTGTCAAATAAATTTTTTCGTTCTTCCAAAAAAGATGTTTTTTCGAAGATCGAAAGGCAAAAAACAAAAAATCTTTCTGACAGCACCATCTCTCCCCACAACTCCCCAGTCAGTACACCCCTAAAATTAAATGTGTCTAGCACTATGTACGACTTTGCCTTAGTTGTCGTCTATATATCTTTGAAAGATTTAAAACAGCTAAATTCTAGGAAATGTTAAGAGAAGAACGGCTAGACACAACTGATGTCTACCCCCACGTGAATATTTGCGTTTAAGAACGCGTTGTTTTAAACGAAAATATTCACATAAGCCTGTTGTGAAGGAGGATGTGTGAAAAATTGACATTAGACGAGGGGAAATTTGCAACAAATGAGGTGAACTTTCTATCACCGTAAACATTTAAATTTCGTTTGTTGTTTGGAAAAATGAAAAACTGAAAACTATAACTAAAAACGTTGTTCTGACAATAACCGCAATTTCTGTCTAGGTAGAAGAGGAGTCATTTTAGAAGAGCTCATATTGTAAACAGTTGTCCTACAGTCTGCTTTATGCATGAGATCAAAAATTGATAAGGGTCAAGAAATTCCACCCACCTTAAGCTTTAATGCGACCATAAGCTTTTTTTAAAATGCTTAAATCGACCCGGTACTACGTCTGTACACTGCACAAAATACAACCAGAGGACTTATTTATACTGTTTGTCGTTCCAGACGGGTGCGATCACCGATCATTTTTTCAATGAATTTATACTAAAATTCATTGAAAACTTAAAACACCGGGCGCAGACGATAATTTATCGGAATTAGTTGACAATATTAGGCATCTAGCAAAATTGGAGATATCCCTTCTGGCACAAGATATGCGTGTCCAAACATTGCGATATATGTGACGTAAAAGAACGAGGAAGGAAAAAAGAAGTTTAAAAAAGTGTTGAAAGAATAAAATGGTGAATGAAAACAACGCTGCACTGACTTTTCCTCTTGCTTCACATGGCAAAAGAGAATAGAGCCAGACATTTGCTAACAGTTTGCCAAGATGTGAAAAGATAGAGATATTCCATATTTGACACGGCTCTATTAAGTATTCATAACCAATTAAAATTACTTGTACCAAGCCCGATAAGTCATTTAGGTTGGTTTCAAGCAAGACTGTGTGTGTGTGTGACAAGTTGACTATAATCTGTGCGAGATACACATACAGTAAGTGTAATAAGTGTTTGTACGATGAAGAGAGGAACCTTATAATGTTATTATTTCTTGAAAAAATAAAGCCAAAAATTATGGATCAGGCATATTTATTTTTGATAGTTGTTTTTTTTATCATTTAGCTTCGACTTTGCTCTTTCAAATGGTATGTAAACAAAAACTCTAGCTATTCAATTAAATATTCAATTAGTATTTTAAATTATGTAAGAAGACGGCGTTTTGTCTTTTCGATTTTCAATTGCTTTCTCATCACTTTCATCGCATTAACTATCCGATGATTTGATATCTTTTTTCTGCATTACTGCTCTCGAACGGAACACTCCCTAGTGCATGTACTTAAGATAAAGTACTTAGCTACTTGCAAATTTTCTAAAGGACTTGGTTAAGCGCTTAGCAAGCATTTTTAGATTTAAGTTCCTGATATTTTCACCAAAAAATAAAAATAAACAAAAAGTTTCGAAATATATATCATTCGACATAGTTTGGGACGCTGGTTCCGAATATGATATTTTTATTGCATAAAACTTGATTCCCGATGATTAAGATTGAGAATACCGGCAGAATTCCGATTTTTGCGCCTCTGATCTGGAAAATATAAACTTTCTCTATGACAAAGCACGATGGAAGAAAGAAAGGTATGTACTTTCAAAGCTCGTTTAATGGTGGTTCCAATGAAGTGCAAAAATCGGCTCCATCTTTCCAAAGAAAAAACTAGATAGGTTTGCGAAATTGTGTCTGAGTTTTTCATAGGAGGAGTCAAGACTAATTATTTTTTTCTTTTTCTATATTCGTATAATATACCATTCGATTCTGCTTTGTTCGAGGATCAAGAATATTATCTTATTTTTACAAAAGACGTAATGAAAATGAGAA